CCCCGCTCGCTGCCCAGGCTGGAACGGCTGCCCGCTTCACAGGGAAACACCTTGCACCACTCTTGCTTCCCGCACCCTTCTTCCCTCGTTACCGTCCATGGGGAGCTTAAGTTTCGCTAAAATAATTTTTGGAGTCGGTAGCTTTTTAATTCAGATTTACTCTTACTGCTTTCCTCTTCCATCTAATGAAACGCCGCTTAATCTGCTTGATCATACCTGAAACTCCTTTATCTCTGGCTCCTAACGCTGTGTGTTTAGGCACGGTTTGGGTACTTAAATGACTGTAGTTAGGGAAGCTATTTAATACGGGGCAATATTTGCTCCTTTCCTACTGTTGAGAGAGCAGAAACCGTTCTCCTTAATTACATTTGTTAGGGCTTAGTTACAGGGAACATTTATTCGTTGGCCTTTTGTACAGTTTGATCGTTTATGTGCCAGTAAAACGGAACTTTTTAGCCTGAAGAATTAATTAGTATGAATATCTATATCAAGTTACGTGCATACTGCATTGGCATTGTAGGAGCCATATACTATAACTTTTATTCTATTTTTTTCTTCTAATTTGAGGACTAACTGGTGAAGTGCTTTCTGCTAATAAAATGTAAATAATGACAACAGTATCTCTGAGGTTCTTATAGAGAAAGAACACTGTGGTTTTGGGGTTGAGATTTTTTTCCCCTTTCCTTTTTTTTTTTTTTTTTTTTTTCTTTTTCCCTGGGAAGTGGCTAAGTTTGGGTGTTTGACATTAATAGGCAAAGACAGCCTTTGAGGAGGGCTGCTGTTAGCTTTCCTGCAAACGCTCCAGCCCTCAGAGGGCTGTTTGTTTGATTTTCCAATGGTTAAGCAAGATTTGGCCTGGCTGAGTTACTCACGCACTGCCTAGCTGAGGGGAAGCCCGAGAACGCTCTTGTCGGAGGAGCGGGAGGGAGGTTCGGCGTGTGTTTCCCACCTGAGTTGTAGTTGACGATGTCCACTCCCAAGGCAGGGCTCTTTCTTTTCCTGGGCCTCCCCTTCTGGACTGTGCCAGTGCCGTTGAAGTAAGGCAGGGCCAGCCCTCCGCTCTTGGCAGCCAGCTCGGTGTAGCTCAGCTGAGGGGGATATTCTCCTTGCAAAAGGGACTCGAAGTGGGCCCTGCAGTAAACCAGGTTGTCCTTCATGCCAAAGTGATCGCCTGTGGTCAGAGTCTTGTTGCAGGTGGTGCAGGTGAAGCAGCTCAGGTGATAAACCGACTCCCTGGCTCTCATGACCATTTCAGAGGCTGAGATCCCAAGGTGGCAGCGGGCACATCTCTGCACGGAGAACCTTCTGAAGGAAACAGAAAAGTGGGCATCAACTAGAAAGGCAAAGGCAGACCTTGCCCCGGTGCCGCCCACCTTCCCTCCCGGCCGCGGGAGGTCGGCAGGGAGCCCGTCCCCGCCAGGGTCGCGCCCTCCCCGGCCCCAGGACGGCCCTTGTGGCCGGTTGTGGCTTCTGGCCCGCCTCGTGTC